GGGGGGGGGGGGGGGTCAAGGGCGGCAAGTAGCAACCGCCCAGAGATGCTGCCGACACCCTTTTCATAGGGGATACACCACCATGCTCAGGGGGTGCACGTGCACCCCCTACACACTGCCAATGGACAGAGGCCTGTAAAATGTAGCAAATATCTTTCTATAGAGAAAGTGAAGTGCTTGACTATGGGGCAAGCAATGTTTCCACAGAATGAAAGAGGGGAAAAAATACACCTTTGAACCAGGGTCTAGTATAGTGATTCTCAAGCAGGGTGCCATGGAACCATGGGATGCCTCGGGATTCTTTTGAGGGTTTGGCAGTGGTATACAACGTTAGCTGTGTTAGGTGCACAACCACAATTCACCACATAAACGCAGAGATGTCAAACAGGAATCCATAGTGACAAAACCCATTGTGCCCTGCTGCAGCTTTCCATGCGCTTAGCAACAGAGCTTGGCAAATAGTTGAAAGGCTGCCATAAAAAGGAGGGAAAGCACCTTTTCCATCTTGCTGCCCAGAGGAGGACACAAACATTGGTTGCGAAGTTGCAGCACAGTAAATTGAGACTGGACAGCTGGAAAAACTCCTTCACTGTTAGAACAGGGAGGCAGTGGAATAGACTGTCCATGAAAGGTGTGGATAGCTACAACCAAGACTAGGGAACAAAAGCTGGAGGATCCTGGCTACAGGGTCTTGTCCATTTGCTCAGGGTCAGACCAATCACCATATTTGGGGTCAGGAAGGAACTAGACCCCCTGATCAGACGGATACAAACCGTGTGGGTTTTTCCCTTCCAGGCAGCACAGGGCATAGGCTCCCTACCTGGGATCTTTTGAATATGTATTGCCATTTCATGGAAGTGGAATGCTAGCTGCCCTGAGCGTGCGCCCCCCTTGCCCCAGCAAAGTCGGCAGGGAGCCCCCGCCTCAGCTCGAGCACGAGCCTCGGGGCTTCCCCGACCCCGCCGCCAGTTACCTGCCATGAGGAGGCCGTAGGCACGGTAGAAGAGCAGCACGGGGTCGCCAGCCGCCTTGCGGAGCCCGTCGTCGGCCGCGGCCTGCGCGTGGCGGAACAGCCCCTCGCGGCAGTAGTAGCTGATCGCGGCCTGCAAGGAAGCGGCGGCCCCGGTGAGTGTGGCCGGGCCAGGGCGAGATGCGGCCACCGCCCCCCTGCAGTCCCCGCGCCACCGGGCCCTCCCCGCGCTCACTAACCCGCTGCTGCGCCGAGACGTCCATGGCAGCAACACTCCGCGTCTGGGGCGGAGCAGCCGCAGCAGCTGTAGCTTGGCGGGGAGGGGGGAGGGGAGAAGGGAAGCGGAACCCGTTTTCATTGGCTGCTACCAGCGGGGGGGGCAGAGTCAGAACAAGACGCCCGCTCCCGTTGGATGCTAGGGGGAGAGGGGCGGAGTTGCGGGGAGAAAATGTACGTCTAATGGGTGGGGAAGGAGGGAGCCAAAACATTTATCCCATCGGTTGCCAGGAGCAAAGGGGTGGGATCTAGTGAGGGTCTCGCATCCTGATTTGACAGTGGGACTCGAGGGCGGAAGTTGACGGATGGTGGGGAGGAAGCCTGAGCGCCCTCATTGAGTGAGAGAGAACCAGTCGGGTGATACGGGGGTGGGGTGAGCAGTTGCCTGGAGACGTGGTGCGCCGCTGCCCGGGGCGGCTCCGCCAGGCCCGTCGCTCCCCACGGCCCCCAGCACCCACGGCCCGGCCGGCGTCTCTGCGGCCTTGTCCCGTTTAAGTCGAGCCGAGCAGGAGGTGCTCGGCCCATCCTCAGCGCGTGCCGGGGACTGGGAGCAGCCGGCAGCTCCCCCTATGGCAGTGTGGCTCTGGCCAGCCTGGCTCCGGTTTGGCGCGGGGCACGCTGCCGTCATGTGCAGCGTCCCGCTTCTGTTTTTCAGGTGCATATTTTTTGACACCGGTGTGTCAGGGTTTCAAAATACCCTCCACGCTGCAATTTGGCAGCGTGGTGAACGCCTGCATGTGAGCCCGTGCGTTTTGCAGCGCCACCGATGGGCCTGCTGTGCCACCAACCCCACGCGCGCGCACTTGTCTGGACGCAGCGGGGCAGCCTCATACCAAGCAGCCACAAGCCGTGCATTCCACAGCGGGAGGCATGAGCAGGCTGCGCCTTGCAAGGCAGGTGTGTGAAAGCATGTGAGTCAGTGAACATTCACACTGAGGTAAATTTGCCACTGCTGGGACTGAACCTACTTGCTTTTCAGGGTTTCATAATGTATTCGCAGCTCTTTTTTACTCAGTGCATTCGTACTTGCCCTGCTTTGACCCAGTCATGTAACCATAGAGATTCAATGTGGTAGCCACAGTCAGTGCGCATGGGTAAAACACTCCAGTCCTGTGAAGGCTTGTCGAAATATCTGTTTCCACTAAAGGAAAAAAGTAGATGCTTTGAGTTGTGCACAACAGGGGGTTACGATTTCTTCCTCTAAATAAAAAGATTTCCCCTGGTATATCCTCTTTCTGTATTCATGATTACAGCTTGGCACTAGCTAGTCAATAGTCCAATTTTCCAGTACTGCTGTCTGCTAGCGAATGATCAGAGTTTCTTGAACAACCAGATTGATGCCTACTAAGGCCTCCGGAAACACCAGGCCAATAAGTAGTTTTGTTACATAGGTTGAACTGTGTCAAATTACAAGTGCAACTTTATATGACCATTTGGAACATAGCCAAATATTATCTAGTCCTTTATCTATCCCAGCACTTTGGGTAAAAGTGTTCAGGGGAGAAATTAAAAAATATCACTTCACACTTGAAGTAGGTCGCAGGCATTTTTTTATGGCCAGTAAATAATCAGAATATGAGAGAGACTGGGATTTTTCAATTCTGTTGTTAGTTTACATTAGCTTTGGCCCAAGGTCAGTTTTTATCTATGAAAGTGCTTAATGATGGCTTCTCTCCTATTCTAAAAACTGGGATCAGCCCAGGTTCCACCACCTTTAAGTATCCGGAATACAGGTATTTTAGCGAAGAGCCTTTTTCTCTAGCTGAAAACCTTAATTTAGGTGTTGTAATATTAACGCAAGCGTAGAATGACTGACTGAAGTATTGAGCAATTTATTGTACATTCCAACAGTTATATTTGTTTTTACTTTGAATTTAAACTGAATAATATAGCCCTTGCATATTAGTAAAGCATCTAATTTCTCTTTAACTGGCAAAAAATATGCTGTGTTTTTTCATAATGTACCACTCCATCTGCACCCCACTTTTCAGAATCCTAGATCCGCCCATGGCTCTTAGCTACAGAATCTGGCATGCCTTAATCCTGCTACCTCAAGAAGTCATCTAGGCACTGGAAGACCTTTGTTTGTTTTTTTTAACATTGATGTGTTCATCCAGTAACTTGCATATTCTAATGTTATAAAAGCCTTAGTCTGTCTGTCTGTCTTTCCATAACACTATTTGCACTCTGTTGTCTCAGCAGCCAATCACAGTGCTTACTGAAACAACCAATCAGAGTGCTCCACACAGACAGAAATGCTGCCATGACAGCAGGGCCTGAGGGGTGGGAGAGTAAGGCCAGCGACACTAGCTTAACCCCCACCTCTGGCTGTGCTCCTTAGAGGCAGCAGCACAGGGTGCTGGCGGTGGAGTACTAGCCTTGCCCCTCACTCCAGCCTTGCCACCACTGCCACTGGGCCCCAACAAAAGCTGGCAGGGATGTAATGGCCAGAACCGGAAGGGTTAATAACAGAAACAGTAGTTTGCTGTCTGGAAGAAGATTTATATATAGCTTTCTATACTGATTTTCAGACAGCATAAACTTTAAAAAAAGCAGAACTAAGAATTATAACTGCAGACACAGCTGATTTATGAAATTTTGCTTAGTCAGTAAAAAATTAACAAACGTAATCACAAGGTATAATTAACATAGTGGGTTGAACTTAGGTGGGGACATGTTAATCTCAGACCCCAAAGTGATGTGGTGTGATTTGCTTATTGGGTAAACCCAAGCTTGATAAAAGCTATAAAGTAACACTATGAATGGCTATATAACCAAAAAATTAGCATAAATAAGATATAAAAGAACACACACGTTAAGTAACCCTCTAGGAAGGACAGAACAGAAAGGTCATTGCTGTCCCATACCCCCACAGATCTGTGAAAGTGAGGACCAGATCCTGACTGAGGGACCTTCCTCTGGTTCCCCCCTCCGACAGCCCAGTTCAGAGACATCTGACTTCGCTGAATCAATTTGATGTGTATCTTCTAACTGAGGGACGATAGGTAAATTGCTAACCAAGTGGGAACTCTTAGTTAATTCCTTTGTCTGTTTTATTATCACTGTCAATTTTAATTTGTATTGTTATGTTGTCTGTTTATTATTAGCTTAACCTTTTTATTAACTGTCATATGTGTAAACTATATTTTATAAGTAAAATTTATTCTTTTTCATAAGTGAAACTTGTCATTGCTTTCCTTCCCAACATTACCTCCTCAATCCTGAACCAAAAAGCCCAGTAGCTAATAAAGTTGCTGTGCTCAGTCAGTCTGCAACTAAATTGATATACTCACAGTGCCCAGCTGGCCTGTGACACAGGGAGCAGGGGAGGGAAGCGAGAAGGGGAGAGGAGGCATAGTGGCAGCGCCCTGCTGCTGCTGGGCCCTGAGCACAGCCAGGAAGAAGGGAGGGGAGCCAGGTGGGTGTGGGGAAGGGGGTTGCATGTGGCCGGAAGTGCAGCGGCAGCAGTGCAGGTTGTGCTGAGTGGTGGCTGCAGCTGCCATGTGCAAGCTTCCTCCCAACCCCTGCACCTGGGAGGTGGCGGCGCTGCAGAGTGGAGCGGCGGCGGGGTGCTCGGGGCGGTGCTCTGCCTCCCCCCCCGCTGCCTCCTCCCCCGGCCTTCTTGATGGGCAGCTGGCTAGTATTTTTAGAAAATCAAAAACCTTTTTCTGTTGCTGTAGTATCTGACCTAGACTAGAACCACAGGAACCTTACAATGTTAGAATTGGAAAGGAAATTTTTAACATTTGACAAATTGTGTGATCTTGTTGCATGGTATGTTGGTTCTTTAGACAATAGCATGCCAAGAAATGAATTTACATCACACTTGTAGCCTAAGGTGGTTGTATTTATGCATCGTCCACTTACACTAGAGCATTTAGTCTGTGGATTTCAAAACCATAATCATATTTCCTAAATCAGGGGTTGGCAACCTATAGTCTACAAGCTGGATCCAGCCCATGGAGCCATCAGATCTGACCTATGGATGCCAAGTTTCATCGGTGTTTTGCAATAGTGGCTTCTCCTAGACCAAGGCAATGAGAAGCAGTGGTGGTAGGAGCTTTCCTCATTCTGTGGCAGAGCAAAGCACTGGCAGCGGATAGGTCCTAGCATCCACACACCTCTGACCTTACCTGGATCTTCCCTGCCCACAGTCTGAAAAAGTTGCTGACTGGTGCTCTTAGCAACAACAGCCAAATATTCACAGCATCACTACCCAGACCACAGTATACATTGATCTCAAATATTGAAATACAAGTTCAAACATTTTCTCACCCTATGCAAAGAAAATCAAATACCTTTAGTATGCTGTACTCTTAAGACGCATCTACACATGCAATTAATCTGATTTACTATACAACATCACCAACTACATGTGCATTTAAGCTCAGTAATTTATTGCACTGCTGGATACCACATACATCTGGTGGAAGAATCTGGCAATGCAGTAAGTTACAGACTACTGCACTCTAATTACTACACATGTGATGCTTTACTGCGCAGCAAATTAGTCTGCTGCACTGTAAAGTGTCTCATGAAGACAGAACCTTACTGTTCAAAAACTGGAGAAGATTATCCCTAGTCAATAGGTAATCTGGATGTTGCAATTGTTTCTTCTTGTCAGGGTCTTTTTTCTAAATTTTCTTTAAATGTTCAACATTCTGCTATTTTTAACAGTTCATTCTGTCTAAAAAACCCCACTTTATTGTGCACTGTTGACAAGGTTAATCAATGAGGCTGCTTGCTCATCTATCCAAGACCAATCTGTGTATGCATTACCTCAATGTATGAGCAAAATCATTCAGATTTTGTTCCAGCCACCAATGAGCTGATTTTCATATTAGATGTTGAAGTGGAAAAAGAAAAATGTTGATTTTTATTTTTCATAGTTGGTAGGGTTGGAAGGGACCTGAGCAGGTCCTCAAGTCTGGCCCCCTGCCATGGGCAAGCAAGAATGCTGGAATCAAACGACCCTGGCTAGGTGATTATCTAGCCTCCTTTAGAAGACCCCCAGGGTAGAAGCAAGT